CCCCAAAACCCCAAAACCCCAAAACCCCAAAACCCCAAAACCCCATTTAAAATCAAAAATATTGAAAATTCTTGAGAAATGAATGGAGATATTCAAAAAGTGCTAAGTAAGGCTAGCCAGCCTGATTTGGGACCTTTACAAGACCTTCAGAAGATACAAATAAATATAAATAAATTAGGAGGCCTGAAAGAAGAGAAACGATCTAGAAAGCCTAAAAATGCCTTAATTGCTGTAAGAAATTACTGTAGTTGACCTTTAGAGAAAATAAGCATAAATTGTCAATGAAAATTGTAAGTCTTTACCTGAAAAATTAGTTCATTATTTTGTAGGACAGAGATTCTCGTGTTGACATCCAAGTACCTGTGATAGATCTTGGATATTCATTTGAATCAAGCTCTCCAGCTCGGATAAATAAAGTTCCTAAATTTGACCATAAAGTATCTTGAGATGACAATTTTAGTATTATGTGAGAAAATAAACGTAAGGATAACAGCAAGGTAAATTTATAATAACCCCTAGATTCTCAATGCAAGTAGGCGATTTTTCATGAATTTTGGTTAACAAAATAGTTATCGATAACCTCGAAAGTAAGAAATCAATAGAGAATGTTAAGTCTCTGATCCAGAAGAGAGTATCTCGGAGTTATAGCACTGGAAAGATCTCTCCACATAAGAGGTAAAACCTCAGTAAAATTATAGACTCTCTAAAGCCTCTATGAAGCAGTCTGAGTATTTTAAATAAAATGATGAATAAATACCGTCTGAATACATCTGAGGAGGCTCGTAGGCCAAATAGCAGGATTGGAAATAAGAATAGGCCTAACCTTAAGATCTCAAAATAAGGTCGCTAATAATCCTGAGAACTCCTTAACTTTGGTGTCTCATAAACATAAGGTGTTACATAGGAAATGTAGGAAATTTTGGGTCATCTTACAGCTAATTTTAAGAATCCCATAAGTCCTGACACCTTGAGTCTCACACCTTCAAATGGTATAAGGGAATTATAACTTTATAGGCTTTCTTAAGATATCAAGCCAGAAGAATTTGAGCAGAGATTTTACTTATGGTCGGCCTTCTAAGACATTCTATCAGACGAATCCAAAGCATTTCAGAGGAGTTCAATATAGATTCAAGAGATTTAGTACAGGAGAGCTTAGGAACAAGATTGAGCAAGGATATGTAAGAAGTTCATTATTGAAATTTGACAAAATTTTTTATTTGGTTACAGAATGAAAAATCAACATCAAAAAATCCTCCGATGAGAATACAGACTTATAGTAGTAACAAACGAGTCAGACCACCAGGAAACCCTAAAATTTTAAACAACTCTTGCAAGACGCCTAAAAGTTTAAACAAATCAATAGACACAGAGGAGCTCAAAAATATGTTCATCACAAATCCTCTAGTAAATGTTTAATACCAAACTTCTAGCCTCTAAAAGCCCGTCCAAAACCTCAAAAACCATCCAAAGTACCCAATTCCGCCTCCAAAACCTCATTTTCCCTATCCAAATATTCACAACCCCGCATCGCTCCTCACACAGTCTACTACAAACACCAATCTACCCACCCACCCAATCTTCTAAATCCCCGTTCAAAGAGCCCAAACTTCAGCGACTTTAACCCAAGCGAGAGCCTCTCCCCCAAATTCTACAAGAAAAACTCCTCTGAGCACCCCATTTCCCTCACTTGGTGCGCCCTAAAGATAAATAACTATTAACCATCCACCAACGGCACTTAAACTTGCTTGGGCTCTTCCAGTTCTCTACTTTTGGAGTTCTAAACATACTTTCTTCCTGTAGTTGCTCTCCATTCTTGTCTGGCGGCTTAGTTTAGGATGAAGGTGCTGGTAAGATAGGGCGGTGGTTTGGGCTGTGGAGGGAAAAGGAGGAGAATTGGACTGAGATTTTAGAGGATGAAGGGATGGGGTTTTGGGGTTTTGGGGTTTTGGGG